TTCCTTTCCTTCTCCATACTCTTCTCTTCCCATTATTCTGGTACAAATTAATCTTGTGTCAGAACTGGTCATGCTTTTTTTTTTTTATAGAATTTTTTTTATTGAGCAAAGTCTAATCTGGCCTTTCTGTTCTTGAGTGTTACCAGTGGTTGCATCTTGACTGTAGACTTTGACAATGCTACATCTACCTCCTCCAGAGTATTCTTGACTTGGCTAGAAGCTGTGAAGGGGTTTTTCTTCACCAAGGAAAGAATTCTGCAGTCGTCCACTTTAGTTGTCTTCCGTGGCCTTCCAGGCCTTTTGGTGTTGCTGAGCTTGCCAGTGCATTCCTTCTTTTTAATAATGTACCAAATTGTTGATCTGGCCACTCCTAAAGTTTCTGCTATCTCTCTGATAGGTCTGGGTTTTTTTTTCAGCCTAATGATGGACTTTTTCACTTGCATCGACACCTCTTTGGACCACATATTGAGAGATACCATGAACAGCTACCAAATGCAAATGCAAATTCAAATTCATTCCAGACCTTTTATCTCCTTAATTTGTTATGAAATAACAAGAAAACAGGCCACAGCTGGCCATGAAACTGCTTATCATTCAATTGTCCAATTACTTTTGAGCCTGTGAAAATGGAGAGACTCTGTAAAAAAAATGGCTTTATTTTCTAAATGGTTAATACAATATTTTTGTTAAACTTTTTGTGAGAGATGTCAAAACATTTTATCTCTACCTGTAAATCAGTCCATATACAGAGAGTTATTTTTGTTTAATCCAGTTATGCAAATCTAACATTGACGTTCTTCCTCACAGACACCTGATGAGAAACCAATCACCCAGCAGGTCCAGATTGTGGAGCTGTCATAGGATAGAGAATAAAAAGGATAGAATTAGCAGAAGTTAATAATTAAATAGAAGTTTATAATTTTAACTTCTGGAATGGATGAGCTCTCCATTCCACCACATGTGTGGTCTGGAGATGTCAGCAGCTTACTAAAGATGTTGCCAGTACTAACAGTCACGTGTGAGGCAGGTGTAATTCTAAAGATCACTGTTTACTAAAGATTAAATATTGTAATATTTTAATGTTCCATTGTTAATGTTGTGATGTTCAGTTAAAATAAATTTTCCTGGTTTTTTTCCCCTTGAATTAAAGCTGAAAGTCTACACTTCAATCATATCTTGATTGCTTCATTCCAAATCCATTGTGGTGGTGTATAGAGGCAAAATTACAAATATTGTGTCACTGTCCAAATACTTATGGACTGTATATACAAGTATTTTACTTGCAAAATTTACAGTATATTATGGGAAACATATAGTAATAGCCTATACTGTAAAAAATAACAGAAATTAACTGTAAAGACATTACAGTGTAAATATTTTTGTTATTTACTATAAACTTAAAGTACATAAATTTAAAAAGATCTGCTGCCAGTAAATTACTATGTAGTTTACAGTAAATATTTTAGTGTCCTTACATAGAGAAAAGAGTATTCCAACGTGAAATGGGAGGTAAAGGACATGAAAATACACTTCCAAACTCTACCTGGCAAGGCTTTGTGTATTCTATGAAGATGGGACCCATGTCTAACAACACTGCATCAGACACTATAAATGATATGTCCAAGAGAAGGCTACCTATCATGGAGACAAGTGTTTCAGTAAATTGAAACTATGTACATGAGAATTGGTCAGACTGAGGAAACAACAGGAGAAAGGCAGTGAAAGCAGCAGATACCAAGCAACTACTGCAAGCTTTTAGGAGACAAATGGATAGGACTAATTAGTCCTTCATAACTTAAGATAAGTTAGCTAACACCAAATCATATTAAACAAAGATTTGAATATTTTGCTAGACCTAAATTACATGAAAAAAAAAATCTTATGAAATTATTAGGTTGCCTTCATTTGTCTAATGCACTTTGATAATTGAAAGAAACAGTTTAGTTCAATTGTCATGTTTTTTCTGTTACACTATTGAGGATAAGTATATTATGTCAGAAGTGTGATCAGTATTCTCACTATGTTGGTATGGAGAGCCCAACTCTCATTAATAGAGGAGGTTTTCTCTCCACTGGGAAAAACACTAGCCAGTCACAGGGTTGTTCTGTTGAGACCCCTTCATTGGAAGTATGTTATTTTGAGACTCTTGATGTTCAAATTATTGTTTTAAATCATTTTAAAAACTATTTTGTTCAAAGGGAATATGTATGGAAAGGTGAGTGTCAATCTTCTAAATATGAAAATGTAACAAATTTACCAACATGAGTTATAATATAAAAATTGTCTCATTTAATGTTAATGGATTAGTAAACCCAGTCAAACCTAGCAAAATATTATCTAAAATAAAAAAGATAATGCCCATATTTTATACATATAATAAATCTACCTATGTGTTCGTGAACATGGAAAATTAAGAATGAAGTATTTAAGTATATAATTAAGTAGAAAGTATAAAATTAAGTTGTGATGAGGAGGAAGGAGGGGTCAGGCTGTGAGGATGCCGCCTGGCACTGAGTTGTCTGTAATAAAGGAGCGGCTGGAAACACCTGAGGGGGAGAGAGAGAGACGGAGACGTACGCGTGTTTTATGTTTGAGCTACGTTTGTGGTTTCTGTTATGTTTTAAATTCTGTTTATTATTAAACGTTATGTTTGAGTTCACTCGGTTCCCGCCTCCTCCTTGCCTATCCGTGAAGTTTGTTACATTGGTGCCAAAACCCGGGAGGGAGGAGGGACGAGCTGTAGGAGAGCCCGAGCCGCTGCAGGGTGTGGTGTGTGGTGTGCTGCTGGAATGGTTGCCGGAGGACGGAGGAGTCACTGCCTTCAGCCTGAAAAGGGGAGGAGCCGCTGACGTCCGCCTGAAAAGGGGAGGAGCAGCTGCCATCCACCTGGAGGCAGAGGTGAGGCTGCCGTCCACCTGAAAAGGGGAGGAGCCGGAGCCGTCCGCCAGGAGGTCCAGTGCCAGCGCCTGGCGTCATGGGGGATCACTTCCTGGCCGGCCGAGAACCAGATGACAGCGTGTCTGGAGACCAGGGAACCAGTTTTTTCTTTTCTCTCTCCTCTTTCTCTGTCTTTTCTGCTCACTCCTTCTCTCTCCCCTCTTCCTTCTCTCATGTCTCCTTTCGCTCCCAGGATGTGGGGCTGGCCGGCTGCATGCAACTACACCTGGAGGAGTCTCAATGTGGTGCCCTATGAGGTCCGCGGGACTGGGTAGAGCCGAAAATATATCGGAAAATTCCTCTTTCAACCTGGCAACTTGTACTCTCTGGGACGGTGAGTGGTGTTCTCCACAGGGGACGAGGGTAAACTGGGCCGCACCTTTTAGACTTACCTCTGGTCTCAACTCCTCCCACTTGGGAACCACCATCGCCAGAGGTCTCTCTCTCTTTCTCTCTCTCTCTCTCTCTCTCTCTCTCATATATATATAGGAGCATATATATATATATATATATATATATATGGTAAGTAGAATTATACTCCCTAATAATAATAAATCCAACTGTAAACATTTAGATACCTTAATATCTGGTTAGTTTGCATTGGTGACGTCATATGTAAATGATATGCGGCCCGTGAGACTTGAACTTGGACATAGTGCGGCCCACTGAAAAAAAAGGTGCCATTGCCATAAATTAAGACAAATAAAACTAATCATTCAAGTATATAACAAAATAAATGCTGCCGTATAAACAGAAGATGGACTAGTCTGTCTATATATATATATATATATATATATATATATATATATATATATATTATAGATTATACATTTATATTTATATACATATACATTAATGGGACACCTGATGTTTGCATGTGTTCTTTCATTAGTATTTTCCTCACATCTTTTTTTCTCCTCTAATAACAAATTTGTCCATTTTGATCGTTAATTGATGACTGTTTTAAATCTGCCAGAGCGCGCGCTTGTATTTGTGTGCGTTAACTGTGTAATTGCGTCAGTTCATAGTTGCGTCAGTACTGCGCATGTCTGAAAACAGTACATGATCACCAAAATTATTTTATATGACATAAAAATTATTGTTCAAACTTTTATTTGTTTAATACATTATATATATATATATATATATATATATATATATATATATATATATATATATATATATATATGAATTGTAAAACTATAAGTTATTAATTAATTTTTTATTAATTTTTTTTTTTTTTACGTGGGCCGCATTTGCATTTGTGACGGGCCGCGGGTTGAGAACCACTGATTTATGGGTTTGTGTTGGCTTGCTTTCTTTATTTTTCATACACAGTTAATGCATCATGCTATAAGTTACGCACACTCAGGAGCATGAGTAGGACAAATGTTTTTCCAAAATTACTGGATTTCATGAATACCACGTTTCTTGTGTAAATGCTTGTATGAACGCTTAATGAATAAATCTGTTCATATCCAGCTTTATAAATGAGGCCCATTCTTTGGGATGTGGCTAAAGCTGTTTTAAGAGGGAGGATTATAGCAATAGCATCTTTTAACTACAGACAGCATAGACTACAGACATTTCAAAGTGAACTAAAGCTATTGGAGAGGGATCACAAAGCTAATAAGAAACCATCAGTATGTACAAACCATCAAATGTGTACAATACAGTAAATTAAAAAAGCAAGAAATGAAATAAATGTATTATGCAATCAGAAAATTAAGAAGACAATGAGGTTTACTTAGCAAAGACATTAAGTGGAAAATGAAGGTGTTGGCTAGAAAATTAAGAAAACAGCAGGCTTATAAATTATGGATCCCGAAACTAATACAATAAAACCTAAACAAGATACATTTAAAAAATCTTTTACTCTAGTCAGGTGAGGAAAAGGAACAGGAAATCGATTCATTCTTAAATACATCAGACATACGTCATATGACAGAGGAATGAAACAAAGAAATGACTGCAAAAATAACAGCTGAAGAGAGAACTGTAATCAGTAAATTAAAGGTAAACAAGTCACCAGGCTCAGATGGGTTTATAGCTGAAGGCTGGGGGGTACGGTGGCTTAGTGGTTAGCGTGCTTGCCTCGCACCTCCAGGATTGGGGGCTTGAATCCCACCTCTGCCCTGTGTACACAGAATTTGTATGTTCTGCCTGTGCTTTGTGGGGTTCCCATGGGGGACTCCTGTTTCCTCCCCCAGGCTGGCTTCCACAAACACATGAGTTGACTGGCATTTCCAAGTTGTCCATAGTGTGTGCAATTGTGCCCTAACAATAATTAAAGGAATGCAGGCATTTCATGACTACCCAACAGCAAGGATTAAAATCAATAGCCATTTAACCAAAAGAAAAACTCTTATTTTGGAAAGCAGAAATAGATAAGGATGTGTTTGGTCTCCTCTAATGATTGCACTATATTTAAAGCCTCTGTAAGACAATGTGAAAAAATTAAAGCAATTAAGATTAAACAAATGGAGAACAAGATATTTTGCTATGTAGATGATATTCTGATCTATTTAGAAGATCCTTCTAATATTTTACCTGAATTAATGAAGCAGTTTGATCCTTTTGGACCACTAGTAGATTTTGTGCTGTTTGCACATGTTTGCACTTGCACTTTATGCAGTAATTTGTAGTCTTGTGTAGTTCTGTGTTGTTTTATGTAGCGCCATGGTTGTTTCATTTCACTGTGTACTGTACTAGCTGTATATGTTTGAAACGACAAAAAAGCCACTCAACTTGTCAGGATATGAATTAAATTATGAAAAAAACAGAAATTCCCTTATACAACTATAAACCACAAAAGAAGATCAAGAATGGATATCCTTTAAAATATCACACAAAATCATTCAAATATCTGGGAGTAATCTTACCAAAGAATTTATCAAAATTATGGAGAAAGAATTATGGGCTACTCCAAACAAAGATTAAAGAAGATTTAAATATAGGTGGAATCTCATTTATCTCTAGGATGAAGAACTAATACAATTAAAATGACTACATATACAACTGTGCTTCTCATATTTGTTTCAGACCACACCACATAAGGTAGATTTAAAGCATTTCTTAGAATGGGATAAGATACTATGACGATTTTTGAGCCAAAAAACCCAGAGTACACTTAAAAACATTACAATTACCAAAGGAAGAGGGTGGCTAATCATTACAAGATTACTATGTCTGTGCACAACTTAGAACAGTGGACAATCATAGAGAATCTTACATTAGATAACTTTCTGATACAAGCAATACTGGCAGATAAAGAAATACGAAGATACATAAATAAAACAAATAATCCATGGGTGAAGCTGACTTTAAATGTATGAAATTAAAAGTATGATCTAGCGAAGGATATAAAAATACCGCAATGGGGAGCATATGACTCAGATTTTGTGCATACCTAATAGATTAAATAATCAATTTAAAATTTGGAATTACAGCAATATGTACTATGATTCAGACAGGAGAGATGGGTTTTCAGGCACAGAAGGAAAGGTTTCTATTAGAAAATCTAGACTTCTACAGACAAATAAATAAATATTTGTCAGGCTGTTCAGTCAGCAGGCTGTTCTCATAGCTCATAGCAACTTAACGTGTGTTAACCTAACTCTTCTTAGATAGTTACATAATTTTGTAACGTCAATTGCAGTTTTTATTCTTTTCACACCACAAGGGCATGCCCTATGACTACCTGACACATAAACCTTTTTTGCAAATCTGTTTTAAAAATCATGGGGCCCCCTGGTGGGACCCTAAGCAACCGTTTATAACAAGGGTGTCCAATCTTATACAAATTTTGACACAAAAAGACACACCTACAACAAAGTGTTAAATCTAACACTTTACAAATAATGCACTGATGATGATCATTAGAATGTAATTAAATATGCTGTTTTTGGTTTTTGACTGGTGCTCTGCTGCTCTCTCCTGTTCAACACTGAACAGTATCAACAGAGAAATTGTCGGCCATGTAAACATTAGAAAATGATTTCTAAAACGATTAGATTGAAAAGTGATGTTATGGGTTTTTTGAGCTGTTTACTGTGTATTACTGCAGAATCACTTAAAAGTCTACCATCCAGCTGAGTTGTCACGATTTCCAGAGTTTCCAACTACACAGCTGATGTTATTATTATGCTCTCCTGTACTCTCCTTTAAAACTGAAATTGTGTAAATGCTCGTTTTCTTGTCATTTTTTAGGCTATCAGTTCTGGACGATTAAATCGTTTATCACAATATTTTGAAGCCAGTAGAGCCGTGTGGGCTTGAAACACTAAAATAAATTGTAAATTATTAATGCAGGGGCCTATCTCTAAGTGTGTGTGTGTGTGCTGCAATATTCTTTGCCCCAGTATCCTTATTATGTCATCAATGACACCTTGTGGTATATATTAGATAGATATTACATTTCAGCCTCTAATCATCTAATATTATCTATTATCACCACCAGCTGCCACTGGTGTTTATAAATATCAACATGTTTCTGATAATTATTGATGTTGAGGCTCTTCTGAATATTTTGACACCAATTTTGTCAAGATGGGGGAAATCCTAAGACTAGTTTCTAAATGTAGGTTTGTTCAAATTAACATGATTATGCATATTAACTCCAAAATGAAGTGGATGGTGCTTAGTGGTTTTTGAGGCTTTTTTCAGCCAAGGAATCTATACAACCAAGAATTTTGTCTCTGTGGCTTACTGTGCAGGAGTAATGGGCTACAGTTAAGGTCTTTGTTCCCTGTACTGTTTTAGTGGAGACTCATAATAATAATAATAATGATAATAATAATAATGATAATAATAATAATGATAATAATAGCCAAAGCGTCAATCTGAGGGGTCAGAGCACTCCTCGCACTCTAGAGCTCCCGTGGCCAGTTCTTGCCAAGATACATAGAACCATAAAGAGACCATATACGAACATACTTATCAAGTTTTGTGACTATGGCTCAGTGCTGTTTAAAATGCCTGTTGAAAGCAGATTGGCTGAAAGAGGCCATGTTTTTCATTTAATTCAGTGATGGTTAAAAATTCAGTTACAGATTAGCAGATCCATGCAGCACAACAAATTTCAGCTCAATTGGACTTTTGGTTCCTGTGAAACAGCTATTTGAACTTAACTCCAACACCAGTGAATATGAATAGTGCCCCCCATGTTTGAGTGAGACTGCATCAGCTACTAGTATGACCCTCTCTGAAACTACCATTCAAGTTTCAGTTTGGTTCAAATCCATTTGACCAATCGTGAATTACAGCTATTTGAGTAAACCAACTCCACCTCCTTAGAATTGACTGATGTTTGGTAGCCTAATGTCTACATTCTTAAACAATCTACAACTGTTTTTGATAATTATTGAGTTTCACACTCTCCTGAGTAGTTTGACATCAACTTTGTGAAGATTGGCCAAAAATTCTAGGATTAGTTTGTAAAAGTAGGTTTTGCATATTATGCAATTTAGCAAAAAAATCAAAGTGGGTGGAGCTAAATGGTTCTTGGGGCTTTTTGTTTGGGAGAACCCAGGGAATCACTGGAAAAAAGAATTTTGCTTGTAGGACTCACGGTTCGTGAGATATGGACCAAAATGTAAACACTTGCGCACTAGCACCACAATTGGGCTGATTGGGCCCATCTTGCTTGCCTGAGTAGCGGTAGGGAGTACTACTTGTTGACCAATTTTCATGTCTCTATGACTTGAGTTGGTCTGCATGATTTGTTTTATGGAAGAATAAGATCTGCGGGGTCCAAGCAGTCTTAGCAAACATCGTCCCCAGTGGCCAGTCCTTGCCACAGAGAACAATAAAAACCATTAATGAACATACATATGAAGTTTTGTGACAACTGCTAAATGCAGGTTGTGTGAAATACCTGCTGAAAGGTAATGGGCTGAAGGCAGCCATGTTTTTGAAGTAATTCAAATTCAAATTCAAATTTTATTGGTCACACACATAACCATACACAGTACGACATGCAGTGAAATGCTTTTTTCAACTGTCCGTGACATAAAAATAGAATTTACATAAACCAGAATTTACATGTATACAGTTAGAAAAGGAAAAATATAATATACAGTCAGGTCCATAAATATTGGGACAGTGACACAGTTTTGGTAATTTTGCCGCTGTACACCACCACAGTGGATTTGAAATGAAGCAGTCAAGATGTGACTGAAGCGTAGACTTTCAGCTTTAATTCAAGGGGTTTAACAAAAACATTGCATTAACCGTTTAGGAATTACAGCCATTTTTTACAGAGTTCCTCCAT